TGTGCTCTTCCGATCTTAGTATCAAATGTGAAATATAACCAAAAATATCTTAAGTGGTACGCATTCGGCAACTCTCCCCTATATTGCGAGAAGAGAGCAAAATTAAACTCGTCGCGAAATATAAATCCCTTCTACAAAACATCGGTATTTCAGAATAGTTTTGTAACGCGGAATGTGTGTGTGTGTGTGTGTGTTTGCATACGTTGACGTCGCGTCGTTGTAGCGGTAAAAAATGTCATTTTGATTCCCCGTGGGTGTTTTCTCAAGATTCGGTAATTATCCCTCTCTTATTCGTGTGTACAGTGCTCAATTATTAAGCGTGATTTACATTCGGACGCGAGCACTGCTTAAGGAGGTTTATTCACGGATTAACGGCAGACGAAAATATCGGGTTACGACAAATGTTTACATGCAGCACGCTCCCACCGGTGGGTATGTAAATCCCGCGTTACCGGCTACAGCTCCAGAGCCGCGCGCCGGCGATATTACGATCTCAATCTCGACGAGATCTTCCGGTTTTACGGCGCGCGCTACTCCCGCGTATCGCACACGCGCTCGACGGGGATATCGATTATATATAATAGCGCGCGCGAAGGTTACGCGGAATCCCGGAGTGCAATTACGCTATTTATCGTTTCATCGCGCGATTATTGCCACATGATCCGACTCCAATTGACCCGTTATCTCAGCGATTTTAACGTAAAGCCGAGGAAAGTTGAAGTCCCGTGTGAATTTACCCTTTTTTTTCTTTTTAACGAAGATACCGTTTCCCGCATGCCGCACCCGTTCGCCAGAATTAAATTAGAATCTGCGAGAGGCGCGAAGCGGAAAATAAATTGGGATGCCAGGATAGAATTGTTAACGCAGAATGAGATGGCAGTCATTAAAAAAATCAAAGGTACCTCGGGACGATCGCTGTGTTTTTTTTTTTACAAAATCTAGAATGAATGATTAACAAAGAATAGTCGTCACGCGAAAGCAACCCTAAACTGTCCATTTATCTGCATATATCTCATGGAGTGCTAGCGTTTCACATTTCGTTAACCATCGCGGCAGCCGAAGCTTTTAATTGGAGTATCGCGTGTCAATCAATTAATGGCGTCGTAATTCTGCATTCTCATTAATGATTTATTCACCACGGTTCTCTACGTTTTTTTTTTATTCGTCGCCCATAAAATTATCTACATGTTTTTAATGTGCCGCGGACCCAGTTTTAGATATATCCAAGGTTGGGAAGTAACTCGTTACTTGTAACGAAGTTACAGTTACAGTTACTTTTTTTCAATAACTGTAACTTAACTTCGTTACTTTCTTTCCATGTGTAACTGTAACTTAGCTTAGTTAGATTTTTTAAGTAACTAGTAACTTTAAGTAACTTTTAAGTAACTAGTAATTTAATACTTACTTTTACAGTTACTTTATATATGTCAAATCGTCACTTTTATGGATCAAAATTATGCAACTCTTTCGCTCAATCACCTAATCGTAATGTTGATTGTAATTATACGAAATATTTAAATGCTCATATTTAAATACGCGCATTATTTTTTAAATAAAATTATATAATATATAAATGTAAACCACTTTCTTTTTTATAATGTCACGTTTTTTTTTATACTAGAAAAAACAAAGCGCGCGCTTTGCGCGCGCTCTTTATTCACTATCCCTGAAACATAACACACACACACACACACACACACACACACACACACACACAC